CGCCGTGCCCGAGACCCGCTGTGCACCCGCTGGAGCGCCCTTCCGCAACCCAGGTTGGCCTGAAGGTTGCATAACTACGATTACCAAGGACTATGATTACACTTCAGTGTGTTATTAAATACTTCCAGATGAATAAGGAAATTTGACTTTCACTGAGAGCTTTGCAACAAAACCAAAAAGTAACCAGCTTAGAAATCTGTCGCCGTTATGAAAACCACTCAGAAGTGCAGAAGTGCCGCAGCCTTCTCATTGTGGCACTGCCTTTTCTTCTTCACCGCCATGACTTCTGCAGTTTGACCTCTGAATAGAGACTAAAAATGGTTGTGAATATACCACCACATTTTGACTAATAATGAAGGATAAACTGTAACATAGAGGAGGGGGCTGTTGTGAGGGATTTGAAATAAATTAAAATTCTTTTCTTAGTCTATAAATGATATACCCGTAGTTCGAAGCTTAGCTAATGATGGTGACTAGGGATGTGTTTTTAACTGTTAGGAAATGTGCTGAGAACAGGCTACGCTGTGTTTAAGGTTGTGCTGATGAAAGCTGTGAGCGCTGTACTAACTGGTCTAAATGTGTATTTTATTTTGTAGGCTGGAAACCAACACATATATCAGCCTGTGGGTAAACCAGGTAAGCAGTAAATTCATATAACTGTCACCTTGAATCCTTGATGTCTTCTAGCAGCAGCAGGGACCAAAGATCGATGCCAGTATTTTCATACAAGGGGTGGCTTCAATTCCAGATAACTACATGTAGCTGTTCCGGCGCATTATGTGTTTCAATGCCCCGTGCAGATCCCAGAGATACAGTCAGCAAAGCCAAGGAAGTGTTTCATCAACAGGCGGGAGGTATCTAGAGGAAGCTGAGTCACTTCAGGAGGACTTCACCGTGTGTGGAGTTCAGACATGTAAACCAAAACTAGACACCTAGATTTAGGTTTCTCAATCTCAAAGTGAATCAAACCCAAGTTTTCTGCCCTGAAGAAGTCTGATTTTCCCAGACAGACGCAGCATGTGTGACAGTCAGCTGTGGTATGAAGGGGCGAGTACCTCTCGGGTCTGGGGTAGGTGTACTGAGATAAGCAGCAGTTGGCACCACATTCTCATGATTGCAGGAAAACTTGATGAATTCCACAACCTTTTCTGTCTGCATTTCTTCAGTAGAAATACAGATTAAAGTGTAGCTCCCACAAACAGTGGATTTACTGTAAGGCATGTAAAGATGTACATCTCCCCTGCTAGTACAGTAAAGCACATGTAGTCTTTGTAGTGTTGACAGAACAAAATAATGCAGGTACATCTGACATGTTGGACCTCTAAAATGCAAATTGTTTTGTTAACCAGATCACTCAGCTCCGCCAAAGAAACCTCCCCGCCCTGGAGCCCCCAGCCATTTGGGCAGCCTTGCAAGCCTGAACAGCCCTGTGGACAGCTACAACGAAGGCGTGAAGGTATGTTGCTCAGCGTCACATGAAATACACTTGAGAAAATTAAACATTACCACTCTGAGATAGTTCACTGTTCCTGAAGTAGAGACCATGGAAAGCAAAAGCAACTAAACTTCCCAAGTGAATGTTGTCATGGGGCAAACACGTACTGGCAGCTCTCCAGGGAAATGGGGAGTTAGTGGGTAGGCTCATACCCTCCTTTACTGTGATTCAGCATGTTCCTCACCTTAAACCTTTCCCAGGTGAGCCTATTTCTAGTTTGGAGAGCATATGAGATCTCCCTCGCATGGACTCAGCCTTCCTGCTCAGCAGCTGTGTTAAGCAGGAAGGAGCAGACCTAGGGTTCCCAGTTAATGGGGTAGTACCAGTGTCTCCTGTCCTCAGTCACAGAGAAATCAGACATGTCTGAGATGTGGTGCTCTAAAAAGCTCTTGCTGCAGCACCAAGGTTCCTAAAACCCTGCTAGCTCTGGGGAACAAGGGAAGAGGAGAAATGGGCTGTCTGACTTGTGATTAAGATACTTTCTAATGCGTTGTTTCGTCTCCAGTAAATAAGCAATAAAGCCAAAAATGAAACTTCCCAGTTTTCTAGCAGAGAGATGCTGCAGAGTGCCGTGAAACACAGACAGCATCCTGCCCCCTGTTGCAGTTGGTGTCAATGGAACTGCTCCTTAGTATGTCAGTCGCTTTTAAAATCTTGCCTCTAGGAGTTGTTTCTTGCCTTTGGAACCCCATTACCTTCCTAATCTGCAGGAACAGAAACCTGAGTGACCTCAGGGCCTCAGGGGATCCAGTGGAGCTATTTCTGATGCCAGCAGCTAGAAATAATAGTGATTGGGAATTCTGTCAGTAAGACCCTTAACAGAAACGCAGCTGATTTATACACATCGCCGTTTTATTATGTCACCACCTTTGCAGCTAGACAAATACACCTCCACACAGACTGTTAGTCTGATGGCAGCAGTACTGACCACAGCAGGATCACTCCTGCTGCTGCTCCCATTCTGTCACCTGATGCTGTCGGTAGCACCCAAGGAGCTGATGTACTTGTGCTTTGGCTGTTTCCCGAAAGACAGGGTCTGCATTAGAGCACTGGCTTCTGCAAGTGCGCCAGGGCTGTCCCTGCAGTAGTACAACAGGTAGTGCTAATCGTACAGCTCCTCGCAGGAGAACCTCTGGCTAATCTAAGCCCTGCCAAGCCTGTAGCAAAGAACAGGAATCCACGTTGTGGTAGACACAGCTGTTGTGATAAGCAACACTTCTATTAGGTGGTTTAAGAAAACGCAGAAAAAAATCCAGTTCATCTGACGACGACATTTGAAACTTGCCATCAAAGCAGTATGTTTAGCAAAAAAATGGGTCTCAGCCACTGCCTGCCTGTCTCACTCCTGCTCTCTTGTTCTGAGATTATCAGAATATGTAAGAATCAGCGTAAATAGACAGCAGTGGGAAATTTGAGCAGGATTATGTATTATAAACTGATGCCAGTGCTTTTAAAGCTGCCGAGCCTTGGAACACGTGAAAAAGCAGTAACAGATGTGTTACTAAACTTGGCTTCTCTAAAATTTCCTTTCTAAATGCTGATACTGGAACATGGAAAATGTTTTCTGGGAAATACATCCTTTTGACAACAAACCAACCAGAGCAGCCAGTCATCAGTAATAACAAGTGAACAAGATTCGTGTCCTAAATAGCTTCTTCAGTAGAAAAGAAGGGCTGGTTCAGGTTTTTCTGTCAAGAGTTTCTTGAAATTGAATTGGTTTATGCCCCTTCAAGAAAATAGCCCATTATTTTTTCATAGCATATAGCTTTGTTTATGTCTGCAGTCCTAAACAGAAGGTGCTTCTGGGGTTCATTGCAGACTCCCTTTTCTGTACACCCATTTCAGACTCCCTTTTCTGCAGAATGCAGATTAAAGTAAGAGGATTTGAGCTGCTTGCCCTCAGGAGCCTTTAGGGTGTGCACCAGGAAGCACACGGGTTTCTGTTACTTGCTGAGGCAAAGTCAGCCAGTCCAAACAAACAAACTCCTGACTTCATCGTCTGCAGAGGAACAGTGTTGATGTTGGGTATAAACAGAAAAAAGAGCGTTAAGAAACGCGGATGCCCGTACTCTTGGAATGTAGGACCTGGCTGCAGGAATTAATTGGGTTGGGTATAATCCACCTAGAGTGGGTTCTTGGTGGTTCTTAGCTGAGGTTAGTCCCCACAAACAGGAGCTGCACAGTTAGATGATGATGTATTTCCTATCGTGACTTTTCAGAAAGATGAATACAACATTTTCTGAAATCTGTTGATAGTTTGTGTTGTAAAGGCACGAGGGTTGCACAGGACACGTTGTTTCCCACCATTGCAGGGGCCCTCTACTCCATTCACCACTTCGCTGCTCGCCAGACTGGCTTGCTCCTGTCAAGCTTTGCATGATCTTTTCCCCATGTGTTTAGTAAGAAGTAAGCATGGGTGCATGGCAAATACTTCCACCTCCTCCGCGGGTGCACAGCAGGTCGTCAGCACATGGTGCTTCCGTAACAAGTGGCCCAAGAGCTAACATGAATGACTGCCGGTACTGTTGAGGGTGCGTTTTCGTTGCAGGCTTTTTAACTGGTCTCTTATTGCTACACATGTTTTGGGTTTGGTTTGTTTTTTGTTTTTTTTTTTTTTTCCTGTTGGGTTTTTTTAATTTTTTTTTTTTTTTTTCCCTTCTTTTGGTAAATTTCTTTAACCTTCCCCCACATTCTGCTCAACCATAGCCATGGAGGGTAAGCAGTGCGTGAGCGTGTGTACGTGCCCTATTCCAAAATGTCTTTGCATGTGACTTTGCCAGATGACCATTTAACTCCTCGATTGCTGAAACCAATTAGAATCACAGCCTTTCACTGATGATTGAGGCAATTACAATGTTCTGTGTCCTCAGGTATTTTCTGATCAATACACTTAGATTGAATCTCTGTAATAGTTGCCAGTAGCCACTTAGTGAAATACAACAAAATGGAATCGCTGGGCACTAAATCCTGCACTCCTTCCTTAGGCAACGTTTCATCCAAGTATTTTATAGTTTCACCAGGGCAGTATCTCGGGTGCTTCCAATGAAACATCCCTGTGGCTAGGACCAGTTGTAAGGAGCAGTAGTAACCCAGTGCAGTGGGCTGAAATGCTGAGAGCCATCTCGCATCAACAGGGGGGACAGCACTGTGTGACCAGTAGGAAATGAGCATTTTTTAATCTTCTGCTCCCACCGAGTGGTTGCTTGGGCATCCCGTAGCAGTGAAGAGCTGCAGGGAACTGGGACGCTTGTAGTTTTACAGTTCAGGAGCAGAGATAGTGAGGACCTCGCAGAGGAAGTTTTCAAAGGTTGTTTCTTTTCTGACCCAGGATTATTTCGGTCTGTCTTGGATTTAACTCCGGTCAGATCTGACTCGATGGAAGTTTTGCATGAGCAAGGCCTACAGGGTTTTTTTACCCATTGGGATTTTTTTTCTGACCTATTGGAAGCAAACTGTATGAAAACATTTGGTGTTTCCCACCGGTACTGGTGACGCCATTTTTGTCCATCTGCTGTGAATTTTCCATTAACAAACAGGAACGTACTGCAGTATTCTCTCTCTACTGTATCAGTATTGTTCACTGTGTACTCTGATACTGTTTTGGAGCACAAAACGGCTTTCTGGAACGAGGGGCCTGATACCTGTTGCCTTAGCAGTGGAACTTGCCTGTCAGTAGTGAACCACTTAGATGTGTCAAGTACTCTATACTCCTCATTCCTCAAATTATTTTTCTCTTTGTCATGGGAGCTATACTGGAAGCTCTTCAGGGAAATCCTGGTAAAAATTCCCCAGTATTTCACTGATCAGGTTCAGTCAGAAGTACTGAAGGAAACGTCCTTCAGGTCTAAGAGTGAACGTGCTGAGCCAGGACAGGGGACACAGTGGGACGGGTGGGGCTGTTGCGAATACGAGACCTTCCGGGCTGTCTGTGGAGGTTGGGAAGTTGCTGAGCCCCATCTGCTGGGGAGAGGAGGTTAAACAACTCCTCTCTGCTTCCAGATCCAGCCGCAGGAAATCAGCCCCCCTCCTACCGCCAACCTGGACCGCTCCAACGACAAAGTCTACGAGAATGTAACTGGGCTGGTGAAAGCGGTCATAGAAATGTCCAGTAAAATACAGCCAGCTCCGCCGGAGGAGTATGTACCCATGGTAAAGGTATGAAGGCAATTCCTAAAATCACTGCTTTATTTCTCTCCTGAATGAGGTTCTTCAAGTGGCATTGGAGAAACTTTCTGGAAAGTTGGAAGTAGGAAAGCTTTTTGTGTTTGCAGGGTGGGTAACTCGTGGTCAGAGGGCTGGAGCTTTGGGTACCGTTAACAGGTTTGGGGTCAACGGTGCTTTTATTCCCTGTGCTTAGCCAGGGGCAGTGAGTTGTGCTCCATCTTCTCCGCATTTCACTTTTTTAAGAATTTTTTTTTTTTAATTAACCCTTTGGCATCTTGTTTTGATGGTGAAGCATAGAATTGCAGATGCGATTTTAAAGTCTCTCAGACGTGTTGTAACTCCCTTCTTATCCAGATGAGGAATTAAGTGTGTCTGTTGCTTCCTACACTCCTGCAATTCTCTCATCCATTCATTGCAAGTTTTTAAAGTTTATTTCCTTAATGTTTTTCCTTAGGAGGTTGGTTTGGCACTGAGAACCTTACTGGCAACAGTAGATGAGACCCTCCCAGTGCTTCCTGCAAGCACCCACAGAGAGGTACGTAGAGCTCCACTCACTGATGCTCAGTCATTACGTTTCAACTTAGCCTCAGCCAGGACAGCTATCTGGGCATGTTTGGGCTCTCTCTTCTTTGCATATGCATATATTTTGGTTCAGTAAGCAGTCTGAACTCTCGGGTTCTAATTCTATATGAAATAAATTTTATTGGAATTGTTGCCTGGACATAGGCTTGTGTTGACCTAAGTGAAGACTCTCAAACTGGATAAAATTGAAGAGCATGCAACACACACCCATGGGAAGCTCACCTAAAAACTGTTAGTGGTATTTACGTGAGACCAGTGTTCTAAGGCCACCTGGGAGTTAATTCTTAGTGCAGGTGTCATCTTACATTAAACTACAGCTTGCACACAAAGTCATTCAACAGGTAACTGAGCATAACTTGGTGCAGCTGGAAGGTTTTGATGAGAAGATACCCTGTAGTAACCTAGTTCTGGATGAGAAGTGACTTGAGATCTTTCAGGAAAGTTCATGAATCAGGAGTAAAACCATTTTCCACCAAAACCCTGAATGAGTGTGATAATGAGAAAGCCAGAGAATGGTTCTTTAAGTGCCTCTTTAAGAGGTCCACAACAAGTGGCATTCCCCAGGGTCAGCACTAGGTCCAGTCCTGTTCAATATATTCCACAACAGCCTGGATGAAGGGACAGAGTGCACCCTCAGCAAGTCTGATGATGATACAAAACTGGGAGGAGTGGCTGACACGCCAGAAGGCTGCGCTGTCATCCAGTGAGACCTGGACAGGCTGGAGAGCTGGGCAGAGAGGAACCTAATGAGGTTCACCAAGGGCAAGTGTAGGGTCTTGCACCTGGGGAGGAATAACCCCACACACCAGTACAGGTTGGGAGTTGACCTGCTGGAGAGCAGCGCTGCAGAGAAAAGACCTGGGAGTCCTGGTGGACAAGTGGACCATGAGCCAGCCATGTGCCCTTGTGGCCAAGAAGGCCAATGGTATCCTGGGGTGTATTAAGAAGAGTGTGGCCAGCAGGTTGAGAGGGGTTCTCCTCCCTCTCTACTCTGCCCTGGTGAGGCCTCGTCTGGAGTGCTGTGTCCAGTTCTGGGCCCCCCAGTTTGAGGGACAGGGAACTCCAGTGGAGGGCTACTAAGATGATGAGGGGACTGGAGCATCTCTCTTCTGAAGAGAGGCTGAGGTACTTGGGGCTTTTTGGCCTAAAGAAGACTGAGGGGGGATCTTATCAACAGATACCTAAAGGGTGGGTGTCAAGAGGATGGGGCCAGGCTCTTCTCAGTGGTGCCCAGTGACAGGACAAGGCACAACGGGCACAAACTGGAGCACAGGAAGTTCTGCCTCAACATGAGGAAAAACTTCTTTGAGGGTGACAGAGCACTGGAACAGGCTCCTCAAGGAGGTTGTGGAATCTCCTTCCCTGGGGATATTCAAAACCCACCTGGATGCAGTGCTGTGTGACCTGCTCTAGATGAACCTGCTCTGGCAGGGGGGTTGGACTAGATGATCTCCAGAGGTCCCTTCCAACCCCTAACATCCTGTCATCTTAGAGAATCATCCTGACTTAGCTATGTGATTCTGTTAAGTAATCTATATCTGGCTTCTTGACTGGTTTTAGAGCTACTTTTATACTTCAGAGCTACTTTAATGATAAAGAGTGATACTAGGGACCTGGAAACCTCTAGCAAGGTGTTTAACTCCAAGATGTGTGTTAAAATTGGTGCCATTTACCAGTGGGCAGCTCAGCAGCTGACAAGGCTGCTCTTGGTCTCCACACAGTGCAGAGCAGCGGGTGCCAAAATTCCCTCTGCTCCACGGGGCCAAGGAAAAGGTCCCAGCTTCCCCCAGCCATCCTGAGCAGGGGCTAGTGTAGGAGGGCAGATGGTGCTGTCGCTCTGTTGCATTGCTGCTGTAGATGCTTGTAACAACTTGCAGCGTTAACTGCATCTTCTCGTTCCAGATTGAGATGGCACAGAAGCTGTTGAACTCTGACTTGGCCGAGCTCATTAGCAAGATGAAACTGGCACAGCAGTATGTCATGACCAGCCTGCAGCAGGAGTACAAAAAGCAAATGCTGACAGCTGCTCACGCTCTGGCTGTGGATGCCAAAAACTTGCTAGATGTTATTGATCAAGCCAGACTGAAAATGATCAGTCAGTCCAGACCGCACTAAGCACTGAGGGAAGAGTTTCATCACTCTTAAGAATTCTGCTCGCAAAAGGATGTTCCTTCACCTTCCACCAGCAGTGAGGATTAACCCAGTGTAGTCCTGGCTTTCCAGCACCTCTTGCTTCAGCAGACCTGACTGACCGCTGTTGGTTCTCTCTCATTACAAAAGTTTAACCAAGTTTTTATCATAAAGCCAAGCTGGTCTGGGATTTAACAAGTGGCATTATCACAAGATGAAGTTTGTACAGAAGTCCTCGGGAAATCACGGCTATGGAGCACAATTCAGTTTTATACCATCGCATGGGGCACGCTTAGCCTAGAGCTGCCACGGGGTTACGGTCTCAGAGCCAAAAACTTTTGAGCAGCAGATCGGAGAAAGATATTGTGAAGTGAAGAATTCGGGGAAACCTCAGGGCTGAGAATTCTTGCCCACAGTATATGAACTATCCAGACTGGAATTTTTTTATTAGAACACTTACGTCGCAATATGCTAATCACAATTTACAGAGAAAGAATAAAAAGCTATATTTTCAAGACTTCGGTCATTTCAAGACAAACTAAAGCCCTCTTCATCCTCCTGCCTTTTACTTTTATGTGAATGTGTGAAGCATTTGTTTGGAACTAGCTGTAGAACACAACTGAAAACTCTTTGTCTTTTTCACCAGAATAACGTGCCAGTTCTTTTGTAGCAACGTTGATTTCCTTGGAAGCAAGAATGCTGCTTTGTACCAGAGCAATTCAGAGCTGCATTTAGAGGAGTTCCGTAACCATTCATGTCCCCCATTTTTATATAATTTATAAAGACAGATTAAAGCCATGTTGAATATTTTAAACCCGCTGTAGTTAACTAACCCATCCTTTTGTCTATCTTGCCTGGGAGGAGTTACAGTAGAGCAGTGTAATTAGATTTTCCTTGGTTTTCCAGTTATGCCATCTGTTCTGTTCAAATAAAAACCACACTCCCTTTTTGCTGTTGAGGGATATAAATTATTCTCAGGAAGAATATAATGAACTGTACAGTTACTTTGACCTATTAAAAAGGTGTTACCAGTGAAATTCTGGCTGTAATTTGTGTGTGCATGCACTGCGGAAGAAACCACTGAGTTTTCTCTCCTTGGAATTTTTTCCCCCACCCTAATCCACAGGCTTTTAATAATTCATTTATGCAGGACTTGAGGAGCAGCAGTAAGCATTCAGGAAGGAAATTCAAGATTTAAGCAGTTTTTCCTCCAACTGTGGAGCACAGGGAACAAGTCAGTGTTACCTGCTGTAATTACCTGGTGTCACAAAAAAAAGACTTTTGAAGTCAGTTTTCCTAGGGGAAGGTTTCTTTAAAAAGGGGTGGGGGAAGGTAGCAGCTGTGTGGTTTGCAGGAAGCTCAGCAGAGATCACAGCAACAGCAGGGGGTTACAGGGACTGAAATTCTTCCATGGGTTCCTGAGTCTTTCAAAAAACAAACATGTTTCTTTTCCACAGGAAGACAGGACAGGGCAGAGTGCTTCCACTGGGCATCTAGATGTGGAACCACCCTCCTACACAAATCTGGAGTCCTTCTTCCACACTTGGAACATTCTACTAATGCACAATTTTCATCTAATGCTTTAGAATACACATTTGAGAGACAGCCCCTTACCTTGTTCAGTTGCTCTGGAAAAGTCCTGTTCAAAAGTCATTTTAGAAATGCGCATTTTTAAATTACTGCCTTCATTGGCAAGGTTACATTATCTTCCAGACCAGCCTTCAAAGCAGCTTTCAGAAATGTTCAATGATTTCCTGGAAAGGCAAAAAAAAATGACACACCTCGTACAACCTCAGCTTGGTGCCCTGCACTGCAAGGCTCAGTCTGCATTTAAATGCTAGCTACTCGCACATAAACAGTGTCCCAGCTTTAGCCCCCAACAAGGGCCTTCTACCTGAGAACTGCAGCATTTCCCCCACTCTGCAGCTCAACAACTGCCCTCTGCAGTGAAATGCACTTACTGCTGCTGCTCCCCGGCTCTCAGCTGCCCCTTGAACTACCTGGTACTAGAGGCTGCCCAGGAAGGAAGCTGTGCTGCTGCCGGAGCATTAACTAGACACTTTGGAGCTGCAGGACCACCCAGGCCCTGGCACGTCTGCCAAACATGACCCCTACCTGCCAAGCTGTTACCACATCCCCTGCTGACTGCAGCAACATTTCTACCTTTGTCCCTACACCCTGAATGCAACTAGGAGCCATGACTGTCACTGTGCTATGCCTAGGTAAGTAGGGAGAACCAACAAGGACAGCTGTGAAACCCTTGAGTAACATGATGACAGCAGTTTCGGTACCTGCAGGTAATGTGGCCATCCCTCATCCTCTCCTCCCCATGCATCCACATAAGAGACAAGAGTACAATTGAGTGCTCTTTATTACAGACAGGTACAAAACTAATTAGTCAAAAAGACCAAAGCCCATGTCGTCATCAGATTCCTCCGACTCTTCTTTCTTTTCCTCTTCTTTCTTCTCCTCAGCTGGAAAAGGAGAAAGGAAGTATAAGGT